GCTCCCCGTGCTGGAGACGGCCGGGAGCTGGAATCTGGCTGGGGCATCCTGCTAGGGCACGCTTCCCCTCCTGCCTTGGGCATTGGTACTGGATCTGAAGGTGCTTCTTAGCTTTCCTTCGAGGTTTGTTTTCCTCCGCCATAAATAATTGTGTCAGTTTCTGTCAGTTTTGTCACTGGCATCGCCTTTCAATAACTCATTTGTATGCAGTTACCCTCCTGCTGTCGGTGTAGAGCTTTGCTCCCAGGGTGGGATGCGGGTGTGAGCGCAAGCATCCCCCAGGCAGTGGCTGATCTGCCCATCACTGCTGGAAGCAAATCCTTCCCCGAGCCTGGGGTAGGACATCCAGAATCCAGTTTGCTGTAATAACGAGGCGGTGTTTGGATGTTGTGTGAGTCCGTGGAACTCACAAAGTCCCACAGTCCTGCTGCATCCTAAGAGAGACAGGAGTCTCCTGCAGTCCACAGCTTTAAAAATCCAGCAGATCCTGTGGCACATGCAAAGCTCATGGAGTGCAGAGTGTCACGGAGGGAGATTTAAACCTGTTCAGCCCAGTGGTAATTCAGCTATCCGAATTTCAGTTTCATTGGCCTGTAGTCTGGAGATGGGTATGTTTGGCCAAAATCAGGGTTTTGCATATATTTTGTAAATACTGTGTGATTTTGTAAATACTGAATGATTTAATTTCTTTTTCACCCCAGTACTGATGTTCTGAAATAAGCTTTCTGGGCTTGAAGTTAAATTTTATCATTTTTAAGTTTGGTGCAATGGGAAGTAAGTGCTGAATAAGTGTTTTGGTTTGGGTTTTTTTCAAAAGAAAAAAATCTGTTTTGCTGTACACGCTACTTGGGTTAATTATTACATCACCCTAATTGCATCTACGTTTTAAAATACTGATATCAATTCTTCCTCTGCTCCTTCCTGGCAGTGTGTGGGAAAGTGCTGCTTTCCCAGGGACTCTTGAACCCGTTTCTGTGTGTATGTAAAGCCAGTGGCTGGTGACAGCTGTGGTTTTATGGTGCAGCATAAAAATTCGAGTGGGTTCAGTGGTGTAACTGAGTGCCCTGATGGAGCCCCAGGCAGGTGTTCCTGCAGGGAGAAGCTGTGAAGGTGGGCACTGGGGACAGCCAGCCCTGGAGCAGCAGATGGCACAGCCTCGGGGTCACTGTCCCAGGAGCACAGAGCAGGGAATGGCTCTGTTGACATGGAGCCTTCACTGCACGCAGAGCTCTGTCCTTCTGATGGAGGGAGGGGTCTTTGCAGGCTGGCTCATCTGTACAGGGCTGTCAGATCCTCACAGACCCAGGGCCATCCTCATTGACTGGTTTTGTGAATTTAAAGAGACAGTTTAGGAAACCTGAAGCTGCCTGTCTTCTTCTCCAAGGCTTTCTGATGTCAGAATTTATCTGAGCACAGCCATCAAGCACTTTTCATGCTTTCTTCTTGGGTGGGAGCTGGGGGAATGACATCCTGCTAGAGGTGTGCCATGGATCTCCTTCATCCTGACATAGCACTGAAGAAATCCAGCTGCAAAACTTTTCCTCCGAGGGAACCTGTTCTTTTTCATGGATGATCTCAGAGCAGAGCCTTGGGGCACCTGGATAGAGAAGTGATCCTCTCCTCAGCTGGTCCTCATCCTCCAGCAGCTCCTTCCTGCTCCATCTTGTTATCAATTCCAGTGCCTTGCTCTTGGTAAGGATTAGCCTGCCTGAGCTGCTGGGTTTCTGGGAGAACACCAGGAGCAGGCACTCCAGTGCAGTGGTGGCACTAAACCTGCCGCAGTGCCATAAATGGCTTTGAATCAGCAAGACAGGAATTTGTTCCAGGGCTGGAGAGCTGGTTCCTGACATGCTGCAGCAGCAGAGAAACACTCCAAGAAAGGTTTTCCTTCCCTGGGGGAATGGTGCTCATGCCTGTAATTTAGCAAGCCAGTAAATCCTCTGGATTGCGTAGGGTGATGCATGGGTGGAGTTCAACTCAAAGATCCTTATTTGTCCTTCCAACTTGAGATCTAGCTGGAGTGTAGAGGGATGGGGAGTGGGATCAGCCCAAGTGGGATCTTTCTGCTGTGAAGGTGAGCACAAAGACTTGAAGAAAGTCTCACAGTGCTGCTCTCCCTTGGTCCTTTGCATTGTACGTGCCCTTTGGTCACTGCTGGTGCTCTCTGAGGCTGGAGTTGCTTTCCCAAGCCCTAGAGGCAGGAATTGTGTGCCCACAGGTCCCCTCCCCGCAGGCTGGGCTGGCAGAAGATCTCCTGAGCTCGGTCCCGGGCTCCTGCAGCCAGTCTGGGAGGGAAGAGCTGTGCTTGCCGGAGCTGGAGAAGCCTCTCTCGCTGTTTGCAGGCGCATGAGGTCAGCTCTCCCTTGGCAGAGGCTCCCGAGTGCCTCCCTTGGAATGCGGCGCCGATGGGTGTGTGGGAGGGCGGCGCCCAGGTGTGAGCGAGGAGCAGGAGGCTGTGCCTGGCCCCAGGAATCACAGTGCAGAGCACAGGGACGTTGTGCCCGGGGGCTGAGCTGTGCCAGGACGGAGCTGGGAAGGAGGAGGAGGCTCAGTGTGTACGGGCACAAGGCACTATCTGTATCCATGCAGCAGGATTCTGCCCTTTTTGGGCTGTCTCCCCCTCCTGTGCTCTCAGAGGTGACCTGGGCAGGGGTTGGGGAGCTGGGAATGGCCTTTCCTCTCCCAAGCAGTGAGCAGAGCTCCTCAGAGGGAGGTGGAGGCTCCCATGGCAGCATCAGGGTGGTTTGGAGCAGTTCCTCAGCAGGCTCTGTGCCCCTGAGGACCTGGCTTTTCCCTTGGGATGTTTCTTGCTCCTGCCTGTCTTTGCCAGCCATTCTCTCGGCTGTGCCTGCTCTCCCCAGTGATCCTGAGGAGCGTGTCTGGAGTAAAGGTCCTCAGGATTAAATGTTCCACTTCTGGCCACGGAAGGACTGCCAAGGAGGTGCAAGGCGGCTTCAAGGGAGCAGCTGGACAAGGCAGTGGGGTGCTGGGGTAGGCACATCTGGTGAGATGCCTGAGGCTGATGTCCAGAGGGATGATCTGTCTTGGCTGTAGAGGAATGCAGAATCTCACGCCTGTTCCTCCTGCCACCCCCCCATGCAGCAGTGTGGGCAGCTGCAGCTTTTCTTCACAGTGAGGGAGGGTGGGGTCCGATACTTCCAAACCTTTTTTGTTAATCTCCCTCGTGGCTGGCACACTTCCACCAAGCTCTTTGGATCACAGACCACTCCCCATCACCCTGCACTGCAGACCTAGCTATGGGGGGACCTGGTGGAAGTTGGTTGAGCTTTTCCTACTCAACTCACTCCTGGTCAGGTGAAACAAAGAATAACCTTAGGAAACTTTTCCTTTACCCCAAAGTCTCCAGCTTTTCTCAGGACAAGACTGGGTTTTTTTTTTTAAACTCTCTGCTTATTCAATGTCCTGGTTGTGTTCCCGTGGAAGAATGGAGAGCAGCCCTGGAAGTGCTGTTGTATGGATTTTGGCTGCTTGGCTTGGGTTTGTCCATCCTCAGCAGTGAAATGGGGCATTCCTCCCCCGTGTGGGGATGTGGACACGGGTGGCACTGGGGTGGTGATGGACACAGCATGGGGACAAGCACAGAGATGTGGGGCAGCAGCTCGCTGTGGCAGGGCAGGAAGGGGAGGTTTGCAGCACCTGCACCCTGCTCCTCAGGGTGGGACTGCTGCACCACCTGAGACGTGTCTCTGCTCTCCTCTCCGCAGTGTGTGACTGCAACGGGATGTCCAGGCAGTGCATCTTTGACTGGCAGCTCCTGCGGGACACGGGGAACGGCTTCCGCTGCCTGGGCTGCCAGGGCCACACGGAGGGTGTGCGCTGTGAGCGCTGCCAGCAGGGCTTCTACCGACAGCACGGGGGGCTCTGCTGCCTGCCCTGCCTCTGCCACCCCTGGGGTACGTGCACAGCCCTGCCTGGGCTCTGGCGCTCAGGGCACCCCCCTGGGCAGGGCAGGCTCTGAGCCCCTGCCTACCAGAGCACAGGTTTCAAGACCCACCTGCCCTCTGGAGTAATCACAAACTCACAGAGCGGTGTGGGTTGGAAGGTGCCCGTGCCAGCCTCTCCCTCCTGTCTCTCTGCAGGTTCCCTTGGCCCACAGTGTGACAGCGATGGCCGGTGCAGCTGCAAGCCTGGAGTGATGGGGGACAAGTGTGACCAGTGCCAGCCGGGCTTTGAGTCCCTGTCCGAGGCAGGCTGCAGGAGGAGCGGGCAGTGAGTGCTGCCACCATCGGTGCCATGGGGCAGAGGGAGGGCCAGCCTCCAGAGCTCTCCTGGGGCCTGTGCTGGCTGAGAACAGCCCTGCAGGGGGAGCAGGGCTGGTTTCATGGACAACCTTAAGCCAACCATGCTAGGAGAGAGTGGGCTTGAGAGAGGCTGGACCTCCCTGCCAACCTGTAGGGCTTGGTGTCCTGCTAGACCATCAGAATCTGAACTTAGCCACTCTCTGAGGTGATGGCTTCATTACCCAGATAATGCCCAACAAGCTACAGCCCTGTAAAACAAAACCTGCCCGTAGTGGTGCTGCCTCATGTTGGTGCTACTCACAAGGGGATGTGTATGCAAAAACCAACCCCTTCCTTTTCATGAAGCCCTGTTTAAACACCTTTAGAAATGTTTCTTATTTGACTTCCTCAGCTGTGTCCTCTTCTTCCTCACCTCAGCCTGCCATTGTTCCTTTGGGGCTGGTGGCAGGCAAAGGGTGTCGGGCTGCCTGCAGTCCTGGCCAGGCCTCCTGCCTAAGCCTCCCCGGGGTGCTGCTGCTTGCTGGAGCTCAGCCAAGCTCTATTAAACTCAGCCAGGGTTTATTAAGCTCAGTGGAGCTTCACTTTGAGCTTGTCGGTGAGTCTGATGCTCTGGGATGCCCTGGAGCAGTAGCAATGGGCACTGGCTCAACCGGGCACCCACAGAGCAGCAGATTCTGGAAAGAGGTGGCTGTGCAGCTTATTTCCCCACTTCTTGCACGGGAATGGTATCTGGGAGGGTTCTCTGCTGTCTCGTGTGGCAGCAGGAAGCACTGGCTCCCAGGCCAAGCTGGAATGCCAGGTAGAGGTTGGTGCTGTGCCTTTGCAGGAGCCTGCAGTGTGAGTGTGACCCGGCGGGCAGCGTGGGCGGCTGTCACTCCGACCACTGTGTCTGCAAGGAGAGCGTCACTGGGGAGCTCTGCCAGAGGTGAGGGGCAGGAGCACGTGCTGGACACTGCCTGGCACTGCCTCCTTCTCTCTGCAGTGACTTCCCAAGTCCACCAAGTCTTAGAATGGTTGGGGTTGGAAAGGATGTTAGAGCTCACCTCATTCCACCCTCTGCCATGGGCTGGGACACCTTCCACTACCCAGGGTTTCTCCAAGCCCCATTCAGCTTGGCTTTGAGCACTTCCAGGGATGGGGCAGCTGCAGCTTCTCTGGGCAACCTGGGCCAGTCCCTCAGCACCCTCACAGGACAATTTTTTCCCAGTATCCAATCTAGCCCTGTCCTCTCTCTGGTCAAAGCCATTTCATGTGCCCATCTCACCAGCCCAGTGATGACCTTAAACCCTGCTGATGGCTGTATTGCATCACAGGGATGGTTGTGTGGGCCAGTAAGAGGAGAAAACCACTTGAACATTGTCACCTTCTTGCATTTTCCCAGGTGCAAGCGACATTTCTACAACCTGGATGCCAGGAACCCTGCAGGCTGCTCCCCCTGTTTCTGCTACGGGCACTCGGACACGTGTGTCAGTGCGGACACCCACAGCGTCCACAACATCACCTCCACCTTCCAGCAAGGTGAAGCCCGAGCAGGACATCCCCATGGCTCCTGGGCCATCCCTTGTGTGTTTGCCGTCCCTGCTCTTCAGTGGGCTGGAGGAACCATGTGCTTCCCAGCCCTGCTGGAAGTCAGCCTTGGGCTGTGCTTGGTCCTTGGGTGCTCATCCAACCTGCCTGTGGCTGCAGCAACCTTGCTGTGATGGGATGGCTTGGTCACAGGCAGAAGTATAGTCCAAGGGTTGAGGGGAACAGAGGATTTCTTCATTATGTCTTTCCTGCCACTTCGAAGGAGGCCTCTGTGCCCAGCCAGGCTGATTTACAGATGTGTGGGCACAGGGATAACTGTGCTGCCCCCTCAGAGGTTGGGGTGGGAAGCTGGAGAGTTTTGATAAGACACAGCTCAAGAAAGTTGCTGGAATCCTGGAAACACTTTCCCTGTCCACACTGACTGCTCCTTTTTTGTGCTCCAGGTGCTGAGGGCTGGCGAGGGGTCCATGAGAGCGGCTCCCCAGCCCAGCTCCAGTGGTCCCCACGCCACCAGGATGCCTTCATAGCTGCAAGGACATCAGAGCCAATATACTTCATGGCACCTGGTAGGTGTGGGATCAGTGGTGGCCAGAGCGAACCCTTTGCTTGCTCTGGTCCCATCAACTGAGCCTTTAGGAGGAAGGAAAGATTTTAAGCCTACGATTTTCCCTCTGCAGCAAAATTCCTTGGGAACCAGCAGCTGAGCTATGGTCAGACGCTCTCCTTTGGTTACCGCCTGGACCGAGGGGGCCAGCAGCCATCCCCACACGATGTGGTCCTGGAGGGACACGGCCTGAGAGTCACTGCCCCCTTCCTGCCCCAGGGAGAGGTCCTGCCCTGCGGTGTTAGCCACGTGTACACGTTCAGGTAAAGGGGGAAGCTGGGGTGCTTGGGGCAGGAGGAGCAAGAATGGCTGAGGCTTCAAGGAGGTTCTGGGTTCGGCTGTGGTCCCTTGGTGGTGGCAAATGGCTGCCTGGTTTGGGCTGGGTGCATCTCAGGTGCTTCTGTCCTGGATAAAGAGGTTACTTTGTGAGAGGGGCAGCAGAAAATGTGACTTGAAGTCGGGTTGGGTTCTCAGCTCTGGATCAGTTGCATGCATGGACATCGTTGCCCAAAGCCTTGAGCTCCCAGGCGGCAGATGGGGTGAGGGGTGTTGTGTTTTTCGGAAGAGGCATCTCAGTTTTTTGAACCAGTTCCACTTCCCCCCTCTCCCACGGCAGGCTGGACGAGCACCCCAGCAGCAAGTGGAGCCCGAGGCTGAATCACTTTGAATTTCGCAGGCTGCTGGGAAACCTGACAGCCCTCTGGATCCGAGCCACCTTTGGGGAGTACAGTAAGTGCAGAGGGAGCTGACAAGGCTGGCTTCTCCTAGTTGGTGGAGATGGATGCACATTTGCTAGAATTTATTAAAAGATAAAAACAGTAAGTGCTCCAAGGGGGCAGAATTAAATAGCAAAGAGATTGAGCAGGATAGCAATAGATGTGGCTGCTCCACTTGCCCGGGGGCACTGCAGTGGAATGTGCCCCCTGTGCTGGCTGTGGGGCCGGGCGGGTGGAGCCGCTGTCCCCACGGGTCACTGTCCCTACTCC